GAATTATTTGTGTTGTTATTACAAGTGTTGCTGTGACCCCCTAGGAAAAGGTTATGCCCCGCCCTGTATATCTCAATTTTGGCAACCTGAAGATGGGTGGACTTCAGCACTCAACCTTCATCCTTGCCAAGGTTGAAAAATGATGATTCTAAGAAATTTGGATATTACTCCTGATGCCCATTCTTAAAGACTGTGGATGTTAGAATAGAATAAAATTAACAGAGTTGGAAGGGACCTTGGAGTTCTTTTAGTCCAACCCCTTGCTTAGGCAGGAAACCCTACACCGTTTCATACAAATGGTTATCCAACATCGTCTTAAAAACTTCCAGTGTTGGAGCATTCATAACTTCTGGAGACTGATTAATTGTTGTAACTGTCAGGAAATTTCTCCTTAGTTCTAAGTTGCTTTTCTCCTTGATTAGTTTCCACCCATTGCTTCTTGTCCTACCCTCAGGTGTTTTGAGTTCACAATGGAAGTCTTGGTGGAGAAGTCATGAGTGGTAGATTATCTTTTGGACTTTGCTGCTGGGATGGTTTTATGATTCTTCTTGTGTTTTTTAGGGGGAACGCGGACCAGATGGACCACAAGGGCCTCCAGGACCTCCTGGAAAGCCAGTAAGTTCTTGTCAGGCTCCAAAAACCAAGAAAAGGACAGTGAGGTTCTTCCAAGCAGATTACTTTATTGTTCCTCACCCATAGACAAAATCTTGATAAATTAAAAGCATGCTAGCATCCCCTAAAAGCTTATACTCTGGGAACTATTAGAGAGGAACCATCTTTACTCTCTTTCTCTCATACAAGCTATCTGAACTGAGTTGTCTCTTGCTCCTCTGGAATGCAGCCCCTCCCTCCTGGGAATCCAGACTACATTCCTTCACAGCTCTGTTGCTATTGATTTGGGTGCTTTACACAGTAGTATGAAGGCGAGTCATTTATAGATTTGAGAGTAACGTCTAGTGAAACAACTCAAATATCAGCACCCATGAAAGAACTAAATTCACTCAACGTGTTGACCCTAAAAGCCTTCAGTCTGGATAGTCATTGCCACAAAAACTTTTCTTTCAGTTAAAAATGAAAAGTAACTGCCACCCACACACTTTTTTTTAATAAGTGAGAGAATGTTTCCCATTTTTGATGGCTTTATGCTTTTTCATGCTTTCTAAGGGCCCAATTGGTCGTCTACAAGGAGCTGAAGGCAGTGCTGATTTCGTGGTAAGAAGGACTACATTTAATTCCCATTTCATAACAAAGCCCATCTTGGGCTGGTTGAAAAATAGTAAGATGCAAAGAAACTCTTTCTTTTCCTCCCATGGTTGGTTTTTCTTCCACTTCATGATTGTTATTAAGACTTTCATTTTTCAAAGCGTTACCATGCTAGATGCTCAAGAAACGTCCTCTGACCTTTATTTGAGGCATAGCAAATGTCCTGAACCAGTCACAGGCTACAATATTTGGAGCATAAAGTGCACAATGTACTAATGTAGCTTTCATCGGTTTGAATTCACATTCACACTTTAATAGAAGTAAAATTAAGGTGGGAGAGGAAAAGGGAGCACAATCAGACTAGCAAGTTTATCTTATTTTAGCCAATTTCAATAAAAAATAGTTTCAACCCTGATGTGGTGTTGATTTCCTGACCTGGTCTACCTAGTGAGGGTGAGATCAGTCTTGCTTGTTTGATTGTGCCGTATCTCCTCCCTGTTTTTATATTTCTAAGAATTATTAGCCTTTTTAAGCCTCTTTGGTATCGAATTCCGAGTGCCACATAATGGAGGGAGCTCCTGTGACTTGTCACAGCTTCTGCCAACCTAGCAGTTCGAAAGGATGTAAAAATGCAAGTAGAAAAATAGGAACCACTTTTGGTGGGAAGGTAACAGCGTTCTGTGCACCTTCGGTGTTTAGTCATGCCAGCCACATGACCACGGAGATGTTTTCGGACAGCACTGGCTCTTTGGCTTTGGAAAGGAGATGAGCATTGTGCCCTAGAGTCGGGGGCAGCACATATGTGTGAGGGGAACCTTTAAACCTCTTTGGTATTTCCTGTTTATTGTGGACTTAAATATGCTTCACCCCTCCTCACTTTGGTAATGGATGGATATTTCCTGTTGCCTTCCTTAGCTCTACAAAATAGGTGGCTAGGTCAGTTAGACTTCTAGTCCAATCCACCTTCTGGGCATCATTTAGATTCTTCTGGTTCGAGATTTTTTCCTTCTCAAGTAACATAAAGCCAGTGAATTTCCCAATCACCCAGAATGGCATCTGTATAAGGTTCCAACAATTTCATCTTAATTGAACATCTTAGGCAACCAAGCCATTGGTGTTTTGGAGGGTTGGCTATGTCTCTCTCTCCCTCCCTCCCTCCCTCCCTCTCTCTCCCTCTCTCCCTCTCTCTCTTTCTCCCTCCCTCCCTCTCTCCTTCCTTCCTTCTTTCCTTTCCTTTCCTTTCTCTCATGTTGTCTCTCTTTTTCTTTCTCTCCCTCCCTCTCCTTCCTTCCTTCTTCCACTATTCCTTCCTCCACTCACTTAGCCACTTTTCTTCCTCCCTCCTGTCACCTTCTTTCCCCAAATCCCTTCTATTTCTCTTCTCCCTCCCTCCCTTCCCCCTCTCTCTTTCCTTCCTCCTTTCCTTCCCTTTCTGATTCTTTTTCATTCTCCCTCCCTCCCTCCCTCCCTGTCCTTCCTTCCTTCTTCCACTATTCCTTCCTGCACCCACTCAGCCACTTTTCTTCCTCCCTCCTCTCACTTTCTTTCTCCCAATCCCTTCTATTTCTCTCCTCCCTCCCTTCCCCTCTCTCTTTCCTTCCTCCTTTCCTTTCTCTCTCATTCTCTCTTTTTCATTCTCCCTCCCTCCCTCCCTGTCCTTCCTTCCTTCCTTCCTTCTTCCACTATTTCTTCCTGCATTCACTCAGCCACTTTTCTTCCTCCCTCCTCTCACCTTCTTTCCCCCAAGCCCTTCTATTTCTCTACTTCCTTCCTTCCTTCCTTCCTTCCTTCCTTCCCTCCCTCCCTCCCCCCTCCCTTTTTCTATAGCCACCCAACTTAACCAAGTGACTCTTGCAGTTATTGCTGTCCAAATTGCAACTTGGATGAACGATATCTCAGATGCTTTTCTTCTTCTCCTTTCCCTTCATGGCTTGCAGTGTCCAACCAACTGCCCACCTGGACTCAAAGGACCTCCAGGTTTACAGGGGTTGAAGGTAAGGATTTCTCTCCTCCATGATCTGTGGAGGTTGCTTTGTTAGCGATAATTGCCATACAGACTTCAGAATCATGAAGAGTTTCTCTAGGTTAAGCACCCATGGATGTCACATTGGTTAATCTTAATTAGCCCCGACCCCTAAGTCTGGCTCTTGAACAGCGGGAAATATTAATCTACATGACTGGAACTGCCAGTAATATAGATTAATATTTCCTGCTGTTCAAGGGTTAGCAGAAAAACTCTTGGCTATATCATGATGGAAACAAGCAAGGGTCATTAGTTAATTTTATTAGTACTGAAGATGGACAGACTGATAGATAATTTTTTTATTGAAACATTTAAACAAGATAAAAAGTAACATAAACAAATATAACATAAGGAAGAAAAAAGAAATTAAAGAAAAGGCAAAACATGTAAGAAAAAAAATCAGAGATAGATAGGGAAAGAAGAAAAGGGAAAAATGGGTGCAAAAAGAAAAAAAACCCAACACATTAAAATGTGGCTTCCGATATTTTTCATAGTAGTTATAAGAAGAAATATATTTTAACCTCTCTCTCTAAAGTTACATCTTGACTCTCTTCTTTCCAAAATCTATCTTGTCTCATCTTCAAAACCATAAATCACAAGTTCATTCTTTCCCCCCTTTTCGTAAAATATCTGTAAGAGACTTTCAGTCACCAGTAAACATAGATAATGTTTTTTTCTCTAATGAAAGAAGTCAAATTTAATTTTATTAGTATTGTATTGTACAGGTGACGGAACCTTTTCCTTTTTATGTCACTCTTTCTCTCCTCTTTCGCTATTGCTAGCTAGAGGTCAGTTTCCATTCTGATTAAAGGGGCCCTGTATAGCTTTATTTTTGCATTTTTATTTGTTTCTATATCTATTTCTTTATCTGTTTCTATATTACATTTAAAAAGGACGCGGTGGCTCAGTGGCTAAGATGCTGAGCTTGTCAATCAGANGAGAGATGCCAGGCCGATATCTGCAAAACCTGGCAAGGGGTCTTGGAGAGTCTCGAACCAATTAAGTGAACTAATAGTCTCCTGCAAACTCCACTCCCCTTTCGCTCCTCTTTTATTTCCTCTGGGAGGAGCCATTCATCGTCCATCTGTGGCCTTACAGGTGGACAATGGTCGACCCCTGTTCTTTAGCTGCTCCCTTCATCTGGCAACTCTGCGCATGTACACACTGGGAACAGGCTCCAACTGTTCATCTGGTTCACCGATGTCTGACTTTGAAGGCAGCTGATAACTGTCAGACAGCTCTGTCCTCCTCTCTGCCTCCACCACAGAGCCCTCATCAGAGCCTTCCCCAGACTCCAGACTTCCTCCCCAACCTCCTCACTGTCTGAATCCGCTGCCAGCTCCACTGGGCTCTGGTGGGCTACAACAGCCAGCTCCCAAAAAGATGTCCTTGGGTTTTGTTTTGTTTTAATTTCAGTGACAATCATATTACCTGACAGCGTAGCTCAGACTTGGTTGAGGTTGCAAGGAGGAACCTGACAAACTCCTTTCGGGAAATCGGGGAGTGGTCTTCTGCAGGTTGGGAATTCTGTCAAGGAAGGGGAGAAGGGCTTAAGCCCAAACAATACAAGATGGAAAAGCACATATTGGGTGATATACAAGCAGTGGGGGGACATTTGTGGCATTTTCAAGAAGGTAATGATATTTACTACCCATGGAAAAGCTATTGGGGATGTTGACATTGTAGGCTAGTTCCATCTAATGCTGCCTCTTTCCTCTAAACCACATGTAGAAATCATTGGGTTTTGCTTATGTTCATCTTCTGGCTATACTGCATTAATGTCTATGTCTGAAGAACAAAGCTATATACACTGTTGGTTTGCCCAGTTACTGTGATGCAGCAATTTGAAACTGCTCTTTATGACATACAAGAAAATTAAGTTGAAATTAAGTTAAGCCACATACAGTAGGTGTGTATCCAGTGGTGGGATTCAAATAATTTAACAACTGATTCTCTGTCCTAATGATTTCTTCCAACAGCCAGTTCACCAAACTGGTCAGAAAGTTAACAACTGGTTCTCCCGAAGGGGTGCAAACTGGCTGATTCCCACCATTGTGTGCATCTCTTTGAAAATAACTAACTTGCCTGGAATCCACTCAGAATGTTGTCTATTAAATGTTACTGGTTTTTGTCCACTTTTTCATACTTTTTTTTTATTAGTCGAACAATGGTAAAAAAAAAATACCATGTGATATCAAAAAGAAAGAAAAAAATATGAAGTGCAAAAAATGTTCTTTCTCGGGAAAAAATGTCTTCAAAATATATTTTTGTTTTTAAGATATAGAAAAAATTTCCATGGCACAATATTAACATAAAAACCAAAATGTAACAGAAAAATCAAAACAAAGGCAAATGATCAGAAAGGAAGGAGATACAAAAATTAGCATTACCTTAATTGCTAGTTCAAGGTGTTCAATTAGTGAGTCAATTCCAAAGAACCTCGCTTCCTCTAAGATACCTAGCGTAAGAGGAGCGATACAATACAAGCTAGCAATGGTTAGGAATAATGACAAGATTCACCACTCAACCTTCCTGCTCTCTAATGCAGGTTAGAGGTGTACAGTGATCCATGCACAGGATCAGACAGTTTCATTGGGCCAAGGTCCCTTTGCCAGGACTGGTTTCAATCATAGTTAACATTAGATATCAACCATGATTTAGCACTTAAGAGGAAACAATGGTTTGAAGATGAATTGTAAGTCACAATTCCCCAGCTTAATGCATTCATCATCATCACTCATTTAACGACGCCATAATCCCTTGAGGGGTGGAGTCTGGGCAATTGAATGGAGCATAGTGTTTATTGGCCGGATGCCCGTCCTGTTGCCAATACCGAGTTCTTTTTGGCAGATATATTCCCAGTGTGCCCAGAGAGAGAAATATCTGACTCTACCTAGGATCGAACTGACAGTCTCCTGATTGTGAAGTGAAACCTCCACCTCCTCCAGGTCACCGCCCCACTCCCTCAGCTTCATGCAGTATGCTGTTTTACTGCAAACCAGATCAGCAAAGCTATCTAGTCACCAGTGGTGGGTTCCGGATCCCGTTGCAACCGGTATNCCGGGCATCTAGGAACAACTCCCTTGGCTCCTCCACACTGCTGACGTCCGGATCACACTTCCTTGTCTCCTCCCCACTAGTCCAAGGTTCAGGCACCTCCTGGTGGTCAACCAACCTCTCTGAGCCCTGCTCGGAGTCGGAACCCTGTCTAGGGTCCTCCACATCTTCCAAAGCTGACTCATAGGGCCCCTCACTGACAGAATCTGGTGGCAGCTCCAATGGCTCCTGCTGGGCCACAACACGAAGGGATGTTTGTTGATTTTACCTTTCTTCTACGAATCCCTGTTTCACCCATTTGATGAGGTTGAACAATCAACCAGCAACAGGAAGACCTTCTAGAACAAAATGAGAGGGAATGTGCAGAGAACAGACGTTGGTAACAATCAACCAGCAGCAGAGCCTAGTGGGTAGAAATCCTTCTATTACTTTTAATTTCTGACTCAGCACTTAATTCAACGATTGCTGGAGTCACAAGAGACATGTTTTCAGTGTGAAGTTGACTTTCACATCACAAGAAAAAAATGGATTGCGTCTGCATTACCTGAACAATGTTATATTATATTATCTTTCTTGCTTTTATCTCCTGATTTCTGCATGTAAGATGTTTGTCCGACACAGTGACGGATTGAAATATTAAAATATTTACAGAATGGCTGTGAATGCTGATAACGGTTGCTTATTATAGAATTCGACTCAATAAACTACTTTAGCCAATTAAATTCGGAATCTTATCCTTTTGACAATGACTGTAATGAAAAAAGGCAATCACACCGCATGCTTCCTTTTTGTGATGGAAATTACAGCGAGGGTTTTGACATGATACAAAATTAAACTTCCTCTCCTAATAATCTTGATACCGTCATCCGCTGTCCTTTTTAAATGCCATAAGGAAAGTGACTATTTGGAAATATCGTATCAATCACAGGGAAAGACTCGGCTTTAGCTCAGTGAATTATGGTACATTGAAAGAAATTGTAGTGAAACTGATAAAGACTGCTACTTATGCAAATTGGACAAGAAGGGGTGCCTGTGGATGAAGCTGTTTAATTTAGTTTAGCATAACGTGAGATAAGAGATGAAAAACCTAACTTGATAAAGCTGACACATCTGGTGCAAAGCCTCACCTCCTTTATTTAAATGAACAGAGGCGAATAGTTGTTATATTTGCTGGTGTTGCCTTCAAGCATATAGGCCTTGTAATGTTTTATTCTATTTTAAAGTCCCTTCGTCACCTGTTCTCTTTTGATTGCAGGAGTGATTTTACAACTTCTTCTTACCTATCACGTCTGTCAAACTAAATATTTTTCTATAAAAAATCTGTGGCAAAAAGCAAAGGCGAGAAGGATAAAACAAAAAGGAGATTTATTTGGGGATACTGTTACAAATATACAGGTACGAGGGATAATACTAGCTGTAATAAGGTTTTAGTTTAGTTTAGTTTATTGAACACTTATAGGCCGCCCTTTTCCCTGAGGGGACTCAGGGCGGCTTAAAATAATGAGGGAAGGGGGTGCAAGACGAGACATAAAAGAAAACGTGAGTAAAAAAATAATTAACCATAAAAGCA